TTTCTCTGCTGTTTAGGGAAGCCCAGAAGCTTGGTTGAAGATCGATCGGTGGAGAAAATGTTGGCGAGTGACTTGCAGGGGCACCCAATGGATCTGTTCCTCAAAATATCTGTTCTTCATGCAAATTTTTGCTGGCTGGGAGATGTGGAAGAAATAATAGTCCTTGGAAGGAAAGTTTTGCTGGGAAAAAGATAATTCAGGGTGTCAGAGGGGATTTGAAGTCTAGAATAGCTGCTACGGGTTACGTGTATGGGTTGCTTACCACTCAAGATCTGAATTGTGCCCTATGAAACTTCCCAGTAAGTCAGGTTACAGGTTGTAAGGTTGCTGGCTGGGAACTCTTCCATCAGTCTTGCTGGGAGTGAGGAACAGATAATTTTTTTCCAGCAATCTCCCAAAATGCTTAAAATAATCTCAGAAAACTTTATTCACGCTTTGTTGTTGTTTTTAGGTCTTTTTCTCAAAATTTCCCGTTGGGTGCCCTTGGACTTGTACAGTTAGTGTGTGGTCCTTGCTCCGCGACTTTTCAGAGCTGCAGCACGATTAAATATTTCGTCAATTTTTAATTTTTAAAACTAAACTAGTGAGCAGCACTCTGCGAACTGTTGCTGTACAGTGTAAAACTTGTTTATTCTCCTACGCAAGGCGTAAGAATAAAGTATTCTTACGCCTTGCGTAAAAAATTTCACAGCTGCGCCTGTTCCTTTTCGTAAATCCGGCCAAACCTTCAATGTTTGCGACCATCATTATTTTTAGTCATATTATGGCTTAAATACAGGCGTTTAGTATTTGATTGTAAAATTCCCTGAAGAAGTCTACGTTAGTTAGACGAAACGCGTAGGAGAATTAACAAGTTTTACACCAACAGTTCGCAGAGTGCTGCTCACCAGTTTAGTTTTAAAAATTTTTAAAAATAAAATACGGTGAAAAATGAAAGGTCCAATGAGTCTGACAGGTAGGTTAATTTGTCGTTCTAGCTTGAAGTTTGGACATCGGTGGCACCGTGGTCATGTTTACTTACCTTGTGAATAATAGGAATAAATAAAACGCAACGGGAAGACGTGCCTTTTTGCAGAACAAGTTTTCTGATAAAACTTTTTCTGCCGTTGGAAGCACATTGCTGTAGACTTCGTTTTTTTGTTTTACCGACTCTTGAACAAATATAACCAAATTTTGCGCATTGGTGCTTGGTCCGCGACCCATGACCTTGGTGGAATTACATTGTGCAAAAAAGGAAACGGCCTTTGTTTTCGAAGAGTGCTTTGAAAATCTTCCCTATACACGTCTACAAGGTCTCTATTCTTAATACTTCGAATATATACAGAGTTAATAGTAATTGTTTTCGACCGCGCTGGAAACCGCTCCGCGCTCGTGTGGGAGACACTGAAGTCTTTCAAAGAAAAGCAGATTATTTTATACTTACAACAACTTCTGAAAAAACTAAACAGCTGACTACATCTTTATTGCATCATTTCTGTGATTTTTTCAAAACGTTTGAGTTGTCTCAGGTAGAAGATAGCTGTGTAAATAAATAATTCACTTGAAGAATACAAAGACACATCAACGTCCAGAGCACGTTTGATGAGCCTTGCGATGTCGACTGCGCTTTTTCTAAACACACGAACTTGGTCCTTTCCTAAATTACAGCTGCAAAGAAAACAAAAAAATTCGCTTCTTACAACTTTCTTCGGAATCTCATCCATGCATAGGCATGGAATAAATATTCCCATAGGGAACCCATGCTCTTATATTAGTAAACTGCAAATGAAAATTAAATAAGAGATAAATTCTTCCCTGTTTTCAGGGGCACCCAACGAGAATATAGTTCAAAACCATTTAAACATAGCATTGTTAAACGTATTTTAGTATTTAAACGGTAGATATAGGCATATTTTTACCCCTTAAAAATGTTTCATCTGTTCGGATTTCCTAGCTGAAAGTCTAGTGATCCGAAAATTATAGGGATCAAAACTTACCTTTTCGAAAATTTCAGCCAGAAAAGAAGGCTCCCGAAAATGCTAGGTGACCTTTTTAGGGTAAAAATCCGTTAAAAATGGGTAATTATACCATTTTTAAGATGTTCGGAAATCCTAGGACAGCAAGCAAGCAAGAAATTTTATAACAAATGTTCCGAAAATTCTAGACCTCAAATCGTCTTCCGAACAGATATTTTACGAAAATTGACGGTGGGTGCCCTTTTGTTCTGTTTTATCCTCGAATCTGCTGTGGTGCGAAGTGAAATGGAAGCTGTTTTACTATGCGAAAACGATGTTCAATTCGACGCTTTGACCGTTGTTGCTTTCACAATCTTTTATGTGGTTTGGCTCGCATTTCACTGTTGGTGTAGCCTGTTCCAGGCTCCGAGATAGTCGGTTTTCGTGTGCCTTTTACTTTCGCGTCTTCCCCACTTTCCGAGAGCCTGGAACAGGATACTGTTAGTGTCACGCGCCGGTTGTTACACCCTCGTACCCAGCGTCTTCGTTCCCCTTGACCAGCAGTC